CGGTACAACAGTCGCAGACCCTTCCAGCCTATATCTATGACATGCTTGCAAAGATATACATATTCAGGTGGTTGAGTAGTGGGGCGAATCCAAGTGCGGTCAACTGCCACGGGTATACGCCGCTGATGAAAGCCGCTGCGATGACGGTGCTTGATGGCACCAACGAAGGGCTCGTGCTAGCATTGTTACGACACGACGCCGATGTGTTTGCGCGCGACCGAAAGGGCAAGACCGCACTCGAGTGGGCTCGACTAACCAACAACACGGGCGCCAGTCGGCACTTGGAGATGGCGATCCAGGCGCACATTTACGCCCGCCGAATAGCCGACGCAGACGAAAACAGAGTGACGAAGCATGCCCATGTACTGGAACGGCACGCGCAGCTGTGTAAGGACATGCAGACTGCCGTCGCGGCCAACAACGTGGTGCAGGTGCAAGCTAGCTACTCCATCACAAGTCCTCTGGTTGAAAGTGCAATGAACCGTCGTTTTATATACGCTGGGTTAGATTCGTGCGTTGATTCAGCAAGCCACCGACGACGGCATGAGTGCGGACGTGTTCCGTGAGGCTGCCACGTCACACTCGCGGTACTTCTTGGACGTGGAAACCAGTGCCGGGTGGTCAGCTCTCACGAAAGCGGCGTCTGTGGGCGACCTCCCGACCATCGAGTTGTTGGTGCAGCATGGAGCGGATGTGAACTTGGAGACGAAGCTCCGGCACACGGCGCTGACGTGGGCGGCGTACTGCGGACACAAGGACGTGGTGCAGTTCCTCCTTCAGAATCAAAGGGCAGACTGGCGGCAGGGCACGTCCGAGGGCAAGACAGCGCTCATCCATGCTAGTCGGAACGGCCAACACGTCGTGGTGGGTATATTAGTGGCCGTTCTGCACGAGTGGAGTGTCGGGTGCAGCAGCGCGAACCGTGCCAAGCAAGACTACGCTGGCGATCACCCCAAGGCCCCCCCCGAGTGGCACAGTGTATTTCTAGATGCGCTGCACACAACGTACCCGTGCCTTTACTGTGTAGTAGTCACAGCTTATGTAGGGACAAGGCTGGAATGGATGCGATGGGGTATGCCAAGGCGGAAGGCCATGCGCAAGTTGTGTCGGTGTTGCAGACAGCCATAAACAACGCCCAGAATCACCTCGATCATGTGGAGACACTCAAAGCCAAGACGGCCGACGTCGCTTGCAATCTCGGCTGTGGCTTCCACCACGCTAAAGACTTGATTGGGTACCATCAAGACAACAAATGTCCACATCGAATGGTTGAGTGCGAATTCTGCAATGCGAAAACGATGGATATGGATATGGACGAACATAAGGTACATACTGAAATGCCATAGAAGTACCTAATGGAAGACACTATTGTAGCGGAGGACTTGTCCTGGTCGTCAAGTCACCTGCGTCCACTTGCAATACGGGTAGATGCAGATAGATCTTTTGGAGGCTTCTCATGCTGCCACGTCATTCATGTACACATATCAGGTGCACAGTGACGTTGCCATGGCGGGACATGCAACTCCACCAAGTGGAGCACTGCCAGTATCGTCAAGTGGAGTGTCGGTTAGACTGCGGCACCAAATCTCTTCGTTGGAACACTCGGGATACCCACGAAGTACGACGATAAATATCTATATATATTCAAAATAAGTGATTGACTTCGAAATATATATGTATATCCAAAATATGTCATTTACTTGAAATATATATATCTTCAAAATATGCATTTTACTTAGGCCCACGACTGCCCCCTTCGAAGTGTGCGGTGTCCGCAGTGTCACATCGACGTGCTCGGCCGCGACATTCGACCTCATCATCGGAATCACTGCTCCAAGCGGATTGTTTCCTGTGAGTTCTACGGTGGATGCGGCGACAGCCATCCGTTCGATGAGACAGAGTTTCACAGAAACTTTCTGTGCAACTTGCGGCCGCGGCCGTGCCGGTGGGCGGGTCACGGGTGCGACGCCGTCCTCGGTCCGCCACAGGTCCTGCAGGCGCACGAGGCCACGACTTGCGCGTTTCGACTCGTGCGGTGCAAGAACAACTGTGCCGTCGACTCGCTGGTACAAAGCAACTATCTCAGCAACGCCCGACACATGAGTGTATCTAGATGTGGTGCTTTGCAACACAGCATTATTTGTGGGACTGCCCCAAGGAAATGAAAGCTTGTCCGCTGGGCTGCCACGTCACCATGGAAAGTCAATACGTGTACGGGCACCAAGAACCCAACTGCGGGTTTTGTCCCCATCGCCAAGCCCGGTGTAATTCAGGTACTGTATCGCATAATAACAACCATGTATGATTCATTCATGCTCTTGTTGGCCAGATTTATGCGGGAAAAAGGTGCTCATGTTTGGTCAGTCCGACGCCAGTGTGGGTGTGCGGTCAGACGACGTGTCGGGTGTGGGGATGGCGTTGACTCTGGAAGGGGCTCAGCTTCGAACCCGCCGGCTAGAAACGTTCTTAGCGACGGAAATGGACGCGGCCCAGCTGCCACCACTGGCCCTTCCGTTTCTAAGGCGATGGCTGAGTACTCGGTTGAAGGACATGGTTGAAGCACTAGCCAAGTTGCACGTCGAGTCGACGCAGCTGGGGCTGGTGGTGCGCTACGATCAGACAACGGACTGCCACCTCCTCAGCGTCCAAGGCGCCTGTACTTGGGTGAACCTGAACCACACGTACTTTGCAGAAGACGCCAGCCAACCAAACGACTGGAAGTGCGGGTGGCTCACAGCGGACAGTCGGAACCAGCACCAGGACAACTCATGTCCCCTCAAAGTCGTGCCGTGTCCTCTGGGATGTGGACAGATGTCCCAGAAGTTCCAAATCGATAGCCATGTAAAAGATCGCTGCATCAAGCGGACGTTGGCGTGTCGGCTCGGTTGCGGGTTGTCTATGAGTGTCGAAGGCTTGCTAGCTCACGAACAAACCCAATGTCCGCTGAGGTTCGGTTCAAATACGTCGATTCTTGTTTTATAGTTCTAAGGGCATCGTAGCCACCAGTTCTGTCCGCATTGCCACGAGAGTTTGCTGGAAAAAGAGGTCGAGAACCACGTCGCGTTCAAGTGCTGTAAGTACCCGCGGCCGTGCCGGTTAACCTGTGGCGCCAGGCTATCGTCCAGTGATTTTGTCCAGCACGAGGTACGACAACTAACTAGGTAGCTAGCTAGATAGCCACAGAACCATCAAATCTATCAGCGTGATGTGTACATATATATCATTCTTGTAGACAACAGACTGTCCTAAACGATTAGTGCGTTGTATCGACTGCAATAAAGTCGTCTTCTTTCAAGAACTACAGGGACACGTGGCAGACGAGTGCCCTTGTCGTCCCAGCGGCGCCTGCGACCTCGGCTGTGGCCTGTTGTTACGAGTAAACCAAGTGCAAGTTCACTTGAGTACGGAATGTCCTCTGGTAAATTCCCCACGACTCTGTCTAGATATCAACCCTGTTTCTTTAGAGGTGCGTGGAGTGTCCGCAATGCCAGTCGACTGCCGTCCGCGTGTCAGAATTCACACATCACATCAAGTTCATGTGTCCGGAGCGGCAGCTGTTTTGCCAGAAAGGGTGCGGCGCCAGCCTCCGCGAGTCGCAACTCGACACCCACGAGGCGCTGGACTGCGCGCACCGTCCGGTCGTGTGTCCGCTCCGGTGTGCGATCAACTGTGCGGCATCGACGCTCCAGCGACACCTCCAAACGGACTGTCCTCGGCGGTTAGTTTCGTGTCCGAATCGGTGTGGGGCTCGCGTCCCCGCGGTGGAGCTGCCTACGCATCTCCGCAACTGCGACCACCGGATGGTGCGCTGCGGCGCCGGCAGCTCCCTCTGCGCCCGCCCCCTCAAGGCGTGGATCACCCCTCAGACGTCGTTAGATCGATGCTTTGCACACCACGAACATGGCTTCATGTGGGCTCTCAAGACGTCCGACGTGGACACAATCTTGACGTTTTTACATCGCATTCACAAGTCTGCCCTGGACGAGGAGTTCACCACGGGCTTCACCCCGCTCGCTCTCGCGTGTTCGAAGGGGGACACCCCCCTCGTCCGGATCCTGCTCCACCATGGCGCCGACGTCAACCTCGAGACGTCCCGAGGCCGGACGCCGCTGGGTGAAGCCTGCCTCGGCCGACATGTCGACGTCGTCGAGTTGTTGCTGAGATATCGGGCAGTAGTCCAGCACACCAACCGCCACGGACTTACAACCATCAGCATCGCGCGTCAAATGGCTCATGACGGGATCTTGGCGGTGCTGGACAAACGCCATCAACTCGAACTGGTACGACTATAGTAACAATGTATAATCCAACCCCCGAAACCCCACAGGCTGACCTTGAACTAGACACAACGGAGGCTGTTTGTCGCGATTGCAACCTCTAACTATGCCGACATTGAGACGATAATAGCCGGGGGGGAGATGGCGTACAGGGAGAACCACGCGTGGCACCTCGGGCGGGAGCTGACGGCGAGTTTGGCGGTGCTGGATGACATCCGGACGCAACTGACCGACCACATGAACGCGATGAACGTATCGATCGCGGATTCAGAAGCCAAACAGATGAAGGTGGTCAAGATTCTAGACTCGGTCGAGTACAACAAGGCACAGCTGGAGCACGTCCAGAAGAAGGAGGCGAAAGTCGAGGCCTTTCGACAAGTGACGGAGCTCACGGTGAAGCGCGCCATTCAAGCCATCACGGCGCAGGATATCCTGGGGCTGATCAGTCAGACGGAGCCCTCGCCAGGTCTTCTGGTCGTGTTAAAGGCCATGGCGCTGTTCAACGGCGTGATCCCCAAAGTGAAAAGAGGGACGGACGTGAATGGCTTCTCCGACAAGGAATGGTGGGAAACGTCCCAAGCCATGCTCATGGACCGCCAATTCCTTGGGAAATTGGTGAATTTCCGAGATTTGGACGTCCCCCCGGACGTTCTCTTCAAGGTCCGCCGCGAATGCCTCAAGCACGACGCGTTCCCGACCGTGGCCGAGTTTGAACCCGAAGCGGCGTCAGAACCCCGAAACCCCGGAACCCCCAACCCCCTAGCGAAATCGCTTCCGTTGGTCCGTCGCGTGAAGAACGACATGACGCCGTTTCTAGCGCTAAGTACGTGGGTGCGGGGCGTGGAAGTGAACCAAAAGTCCAAAGCTGAAGCGAAACTCCTGGACGAAAAGAAGGCCGTTGTCCAGACCGACCTCGCGACGTTGGACGGGGAGCTCAAAAATGCAAAGTTTGACATGAAGACGGCGCATCGGTCGCTTCCGTCTAGACAACAAGAGCTCGATCGTATCGTTGCTCTGGAAGTTAAAGCCGCCGCCGACACCAAACTCAAGCAACGCCGAGTGGACGTGTGCGAGTTGCTCGCATTCACGAGCTTGAATGGCCACACGCCGCTCACGTTCGCCGCATCCATCGGCAACGAGCGCGCCGTGCGCCTTTTGCTAAACCGCGGCGCCAACGGCAGCTACTCGGTATAGTTGTTAGTTGCTCTAGAACACTCTTAAACATGTTGTGTGTAGGACGAAGAGCAACGGCTGGCGGCGAAAATTCTGCAAAACGCGATGCGCCACTATGTCCACCATATCAAGTTGACGGGGGAGCTGGCCACGTTGTCTGGCATAACCGGGTTCTTGTCATTGAAGCCATTAACTCAACAATTCAGGCGGTACAGGCAGTGCTCCCGCGTAGCCCTGCACGAAGCTGCCTACAACGGGCACCACGAAGTACTGGAGCTGTTGGTCGAGGCTGGCCGTGCAAAGCTGTGGCAACCGAGCTACGTCGACCCGATCGCCGCCTGTCCAGGCCAACTGGCGTCTCAGCCGCGCCACGTTGTGGGCAACGGCATGGGTGTGTGGAAGCTCCAGTTCCGGACGGCTCCGCTGACGCTGCCGGACGCGGTCAGGCTCGGGGAAGCGAGGCTTCGACGTGCGGTGTTCCGGCCCAAGACAGGATGGGATAGCACGTCCAGTGTGTACGACGACACGCGAGCCGTCCTGGAGATTCTTTTGAAGGCGTCGGCCAAGTGCCAACAAGACAAGCGGACTGAGCAGCTGACTCGCAAGACGATTCTGAGGCGCACAGCCAATCAGAACCTCTTGCATGGACGTCTGGAGATAGCCATCCAAGCCAAGAAGTATGCGGAAGCGTATGCTTTGCTGGACGACGGAGCATTCCCGGGCCATGCGACTCCGGGGGGGCTCACTGTGCTGAGCCAGGTACAATGCAGCTCTACATAATATGTCAGTGTTTGCCACAATCAACACGCATCGATATATGGTTCGAGTGTTGTGAGGGGGGTATTCTGGATGGTCATACTTGCGCTGTTCTGACAAATACTGTAGGCATGCACGGAAGAAGTGTATCTAGTCAACGCGGATGGCGACACGGTTTTGGCTGTCGACTACTTTTTGGATCGAAGCAGCAACCGCCCGTCGCCCAACTTCGAAAGCTTCAGCACTTTCAACGGGTCTCCTTCGTCATCGTTCTTGCCTCTGGTGGTCGCGGCGCATTACGGCACTGTGCGCTGCGGTCGTAGTCTGGTACGTCGTCGTCGATGGCAAGTTGATTCAATGATTGTTGACGATTCTGCTTGTATTTTATATATAATACCTCGAATACTTGGGTGAGAGATGGTCTAAGCACTGATGTAGGTCAGTCGCGGTGCGGATGTGAATGCGCGCACCACGACAACCGGCACATCGGCGTTGATCACGGCCGTGCGCAACAACAAGGACGAGTTCGTCCAATTCTTGCTGTCACATGGCGCCAACGTCCACGTCAAGGTCGGGGCTACCTAACTACCTACCTCCATCTCATTCATACTTCTGGCGTCAACTTGTAGGACATCCATGGCCACACAGCGCTGGCGTACGCCGCTGCCAACAACAACGAGGTGGTGTGTGCGATGCTGTCGCAGGCGGCCGCCGAGGTTCGGCAGACGCTGCTGCTTCTCGGCAAGTCGACGGAATTCGGGCTCTGTCGGTGGGGCTGCGGGTTCGTGGGGCTTCGAGACGACCCCGTTGTTGAACACGGCCACATCGTTCGACTGATGCATCCGCTGACCGCCCACGAAGCCGCCGTGTGCCCCAAGCGAGTCGTGAAATGTCCGCACGGCTGCGGCGCCGTCGACCTCTGGAGCGAGGAGGTGCCAGCCCATGTTGAGGCCACGTGTCCGTTGCGCCAGGTGCCGTGCGCGAACCCCAAGTGCTCCGACATCCTCCCATTCAACCGTCTCCAGACCCATGAATGTCAAGAATGCCCACATCGCACCGTAGCCTGCTCGGCCTGTGGAGAGACCTCCCTGGCGTACAAGCTACCCAAACATCAAGCCGCGCACTGTCGCCTGCGGTCCACATCTTGTCCTGCTTGTGGGGATACCTTACCAGCCATGGACTTGTCCAGACACCAGAAATTCGACTGTGTCTGTCGGCAGGTGCGGTGTCGGCTCGGCTGCGGGTTTGTCGAAAGCCGACTCCGCGCCCACCACGAGCTGTCGGACTGCATCATGCGATCGATTCCGTGTGTGTTTGGGTGCGAAGGCGGCACGACGCCGGAACGCCAAGCCGCGCACGAACTCGAGTGCGAACTTCGCACTGTCGGGTGTCCCAACCGTTGCGGTGTCCGGACAGACGGGGGGCCTCTCCGGGCCCGCGACATCGTTTCGCACGTCCAAAACGACTGTCCTCACCGATTTGTAGCGTGCGAGTTGGGGTGCGGCAAGAAGGTCCGCGCGGTGGACCTGCCAAGCCACACCGCGTCGACGTGTACGCTCCGGCTGGTGGAGTGTCCAAGGTGCCAGAAACAAATGACCGCCGACGAGCTGGACTCCCGCCATCCCGACTGCCGAGCCCGGATCGTGCCGTGCGGGGCGTGCGGCCTGGGCGGGATCGTCGCCGAGCACTTGGACAGACACAAGGCGGACGAGTGTAAGATGCGACTGGTTCAGTGCAAATAT